TTAAGTGAAGGCAGGAGATAGTGTTTGTTTCCAGGAAGCCTTCAAAAAGCTCTCTGCTTTCAAACAGACCGATGGCCCAACTCACCTCTGAGCCTGACTGCAGGAAATGAAGGCTACCCAGCTGGCCTCACCTTGCCATCCTCCTACTCATCATGAGTTGGCTCAGGTCCCTAACCACATGCATCTGCCTGATGTGGCCCGATTACAGGACGGGGAATGAACACAGAACGTAAAATAATGACACAGGCACACATGGACATGACAATGACTTGACTGAACAATGCACCAGTCACTTTGTTGTTATACCCCCCAGACCCAAGGTTAGTTCCTTGTACATGAGCATCTAAGCATAGCAGCGATATCAGTCAATTCCGGAGTTGTTTCAAAAGGGAACAATTTCCCATGGTCTCAGACCTCAAAATGGTTACTTGAGGTGCCAACGCTGGACATAACTCAAAAACCAAGGCCAAGATAAGCAATATTGAACAATGCAGTCATTAGAAGAATTTCTCGTGCTCTTTCCCAGCCAGTGGCTGACCCCCACGGTTGTGTCCGTCTTAGGTCGTCCCCCTCATGAGGAGTCTTACCCATCATTGACTACCAACCATCATATGGGGCCGGACCTTGGGAATGTTCTTCTTATCTTTATGGCTTCCAGACTCCCACCATGGGGGCCCTCCGTGTGGGAGCTGGGCAACATTTGTTTATGTGCAGAAACTCAGGCCTCTTGTTATGTCCCAAGGCAGTAACCATGTCTAAAGAAATTGCTGGCTAGAAGAAAATGCTGGCTAGAAGAAAATACTGGCTAGAAGAAAATGCTGCCTACTGCTGCGTCATGCAGCACACATACATTACAGGCTATAGTGAATGATTAGTATAAGGCATAACATCAGAATCAGCCCCCAACATCTGCCTATTCCTTGGATGTGGCAACTTGGTTCTTGACCTGTTCAGTACTCTGTATGCCCCTTTCATCTAGATTCTCCCTCAAGCAGGCTGCAGGGGAGAGCTCATACCACTTTTACATGAGTCTTGGAAGCTGGCGTCCTCCCTAACCCAGCCCTCAGTTCCAGCCACTTCAATTGCCATCAGGCTGGCTGTGATGTAATCATTCTGGGAGTGGCTCTACTAAAACCCTTGGTTTCCAATAAGGATAGCTCACGCTAATTATCACATAGATTTTTTTTTTTTTTGCAATCACACAAGAGGAGGTTTATTTTCTGGCTAGCCAGGGTCCAAGCCCCAGAGCACCAACGCAGTGGCCACTCTCGCAGGCAAGGACCCCGACCAGAACAACGGCATGCCTTTTATCCCCATGGTGCACAAGCTGCACACAAGCTGACTACACATAGATCATGCGTTGACCTTTAAAATGATTGGTTGCCCACTATTGCCTTTTGAAATAATTGGCAGGTTGGTTGCCCTCTATTGCCTGATGGGCCAGTAGCCCATGCTTCAATGACCTCATCCCATAATTCCCCATACAGCGGCGTAGCAAGCAAGCAATGACCAGAAGCAAAAGTTTACGGTTAGCTCATTGCCCCACCCAAGTAAATTCCCGACAATTGGAAAAACTCCTCTGCCCTTCCTCTGTCCTACAAATTCCTCTGCCCTACATTCCCCTTTCTCTAGGTAGCAGACGATCACTCCTGCTCGTCCTCAAGGTTCTCTTAGTGCTCTAGTACTATAGCACTTGACCGTAGCTCTGATATTGTTGTTGCAATACTAGTAGCTGGACAGTGTTTATCCGTTTCTTCACAAAAGTGTACTAGTCTATTAATTACACATGGCGTGAAAGTAAGGACTAAGATTAGCATAATGAGTGGGCCTAGTAGGGTGGATAGTAGCGTTGTTAACCAAGAGGAACTGTTAAACCAAGACTCAAACCAACCTGCTTGCTGTTCATATTCCTGTTTGCGGCGGGCAAGCCTTCCCTGACCTTAGCTATAGATTAACATCCGTATGGTCTGCATAGAAACAACATTCTTCTTTGAGGGCAGCACACAGTCCTCCTTACTGAGGAATACTAGATCTAACCCCCTCTGGTTCTGGAGCCACTACTCGGATAGGAGGTTAGTGACTTTCTAGGTGTGAAATGATCTTCTATCCTTGTAATATCTTCCTCAACAGCTGCCTCAGAATTAACCCTCTTTGCTGCATTGCCAGAGAAGAGATACTAGTTCCTGCTCCTATTGCCCTAAGCCAAAAGAGTAGCCAGGTTATGGCTGTGAAGGCTCTCTTTTTTCAAAATTAGGTTGGTGACTCTTCACCCTACTATGCTCATACATGTCTCCTCAGTGTGGTATTTTTTGGGAACACTAACACCTTATACAGTAATCTTTAGACCCATGTAAGGTTATGGGGTTGGTGGGGTGGTTGGGCGGTAAGTACAGCTGTAGGTCTCTACCCCAAAAAACATTAGACCAAAACACAACATCTCAAAAACACAACAAACAACCCCACCGCGATCCGTCCATGTTTTGTCACCCAGTCAATCTTTAGATGCCACAACCCAGTCAAGTCTGTGTCAGCAGTCCTGGGCTGTCGCCGCCATCTTGGGTCAGTCTGGTCTTCAGAGATTCTTCGAAGGTCTGCAGTTGCTTCGTTAACTGGTCTGGCACTGCTCCTGGTCTTTTTTATTAGCAGGGTCTCACGTAGGAGTGGGTGGTATCCAGGTTGCTACTATTATCGACTTCGAGAGCAGTGCGTAACAGAATTAATTTGATAGGGGCCCTTCCAACTCGGCTTAGGGTTCTGCTGTTATGCCGTTTCACCCACGCACCAGTCCCCCTGGCCCTGGGTTGGGGTGAAACGGGTGTCTGGCACGCCTCCTCCTTTAGGCAGTAGATAGCACGGGGGAGGCCGGCCCATACTTGACTGTACACGTTGCAGAGCCTGCACGCGCTGAACACTCTTTTGGGATGGCTCCCAGAAGCAAGCCTCAGGGCTCATCCTAGGAACTACAGGAGGGGTGTGCATACATGTTTCAAAGGGGTTAAACCCAAGTGATAAGGGTGTTCCAGGCTCGGAACAGGGCGGAACGGAAGGAGGGTCACCCAGTCTCCGCAGTCTCCAGGCGGGCATTTAGTCAGGGTCTCCTTTATTGTTCTATTCTTAGCGTCTACCATGCCAGGAGCTCTGGGGATTATATGCACAATGTAATTCCAATCTATCCCCATAGCCTGGGCCAGCCCTGACTAACCTGACAGATAAACGCAGGTCTATCCTATGTTGATCTCTATCCCTCTCCGGCAGTCCATCACCTGGGGACTATTTCTTCTAATATTTCTTAGCTACTGTCACAAGCTTTTCTCCCTTTGCGCTAGGAAGCTTTGACCCATCTCGAAAACGTATCTACGCCATGACCAGCTATAATATGGTATCGCAACTTTTCTTGAGGCTCTGACCTCTCTGTAAATGCACTTCCAAATATTCT